TTTGTAACTCCAGTTCCAGGTGCTCTAACACCCTCACACAGAGTATATACAGGCAAAACACCAGTGCACATTAAATAGTTAAATAAATCTTCTTTTAAAAGTAATACTAAGAGGAAATATGCAAGTCATTTGAAAAGCAGGGATTAGCTGACTATGGCTAATCCCTATTAGCCCAAGCAGAGACAGAGCCTAACAGCAGAAAGATGAGACCCTGAGTTCCTCAAAAGACCATAGCCAGTGTTTGCCTTCTTCACCCACATTAGCCACCACTGTAAGATGATGCATGTCTACAGAACCCCTGCTTCAAGTCAGGCTGGGTGGCCTTACAAGTAGGTGAAGGCTGATACCTGGATGGGGTGGGCCACAGTCCTCAAGACTGTGGGAGCTTTGTCTTGGGAACCCTGTAGGGTCATAGTTGGCTTTCTGGCTGTACTCAAGGCCTTGCTACTACTAGCATACATCTCACCCAACTGGCCCACAGGACAGTTTTGGAGAAGTCTGTAACAAGCATGTTTCTCTATAGCTCCCTTCACTCTGGTTCTCTTCTGGGCTAACTCAGAATGCCTTATCCTGCCGTGGGTGACTTGATCTCCCATTCTGCAGGTCCTCCATCCCTTCCACCCCAGCTTTGCTGCCCTTCTGGAATGCCTCCCATGCACCAGTATCCTGTGGAACTTGAGCGGTTAACTTACGGTGCCCCTTCCTCCCTCTTCTCAATATGCCATACAACCGGGTGTCCCTTCCTCCTCAGTATGGTACTTTTAGCCTCTGCTGTGCAGTCTCTATTACCAGCCTCTATTACCAACTGGAACCCTGGACCCTCATTTACCTCCTCTGTCTCCACCTTTACGGCATCGCCTACTGATAGGGTTCACACAAATGAAGACCCTCTCTTTGGGGGCTCTGTGCCACCAGAGACATCTACAGGGCATTTTCTTGGCAAGCAGCCCCTCCTTTGTCTGGTTCCTTCCTCCCCTTTGCTCTCTAGGGTCTTTGCCCCCATCTTTGTCGAATTCTCTGCCAGACCTGTTGAGGACTTGGCAGGTGGCCTTTTGCTACCTAAATTCCAATCTCCCTCCTCCTCCCCCTTCCCCTCTTCCTTCTACTTCTTTTTTTTTAAAAATATATTTATTTATTTATTTAGTATACAATATTCTGTCTGTGTGTATGTCTGCAGACCAGAAGAGGGCACCAGACCTGATTACAGATGGTTGTGAGCCACCATGTGGTTGCTGGGAATTGAACTCAGGACCTTTGGAAGAGCAGGCAATGCTCTTAACCACTGAGCCATCTCTCCAGCCCCCTCTCCTTTTTTTTTTTAAATTTATTTATGTATTAATGTATACACTGAGCCATCTCTCCAGCCCCTTCCTTCTTCTTTTTTCAAGACTGTTTTGTGTGTGTGTGTGTATGTGTGTAGCCCTGACTTTCCTTGAATAGGCTCTCTAGACCAGGAAGGCTGCCCAAGCGCCTCTGTCTCTGGAATGCTGGGATTAAAAGCGTGCACCACCACCGCTCGGCTTCCAAATCCCAATCTTCTGGTTGTGCAAAGCACTGGGATCCCGAGTCTATACATCCAATCTCCTTCGTCTACCTCGGGGTTACAACATCTGGAGATTCTCAATTTATATGGAAACCCTTGTTTGGGCCAAGCTCGGAATCTCGGATTCTGCAGCTCAGTTCTGTGTGGCCCTGGACAAATCCTTCCACCTCTGGAAGCCTCCACCATCGCCCACCTGCTCTCCATAAGACTCCTGAGTCAGGGGGGAGGGGAGAGGTAGGGAGGGGAGCAGAGAAAAATGTGGCGCTCAATAAATATCAATTAAAGAAAAAAGAAAAAAAAAAAAGACTCCTCAGTCAGTTTCCCCAGGGCCCGCTTCTCCCAGGGGCACCTATATAGGTTAGATGTAAGCCTCAGAGCCTATAGTAGGTAGAGACCAGTGCTATCCGCGTGTGACTACAAGCTCCGACAGGAATCGCGCAGAGGAAGAGGCGGGGCCCCTTCCGGCGTCCCGCCCCGGAAGATAAGGCTGCTAGCCGCCGCGTATTTCCTCTTTCGGCCGTGCTTGCCGGCAGGTAGGTTGTGTTCGGTCGCTGCGGGCTTGAAACGATCCACCGCCATCTGCCTCCGGCACCTTCCCGGTGGTCTGTCGTGTCGCTTGGTCCACTCATCGAGGACAGGGAGGGAGGGATGGCGGCGTCTGTGGCCTTGGGAGCTGGCGGGGACCTGGTTTTCTGGACGCTGAATGTGAGCCCTTTCCAGACTCGCCGCCATGGGCCGTGTGATCCGAGGACAGAGGAAAGGCGCCGGTTCTGTGTTCCGCGCGCACGTGAAACACCGTAAGGGCGCCGCGCGCCTGCGAGCTGTGGACTTCGCCGAGCGGCACGGTTATATTAAGGGCATTGTAAAGGTATGAGGGCACCGGAGGGGGCAAGCAGGGCAACAGGGTGCCTCGAGGAGACCGTCTAACCTTCTCAACCTGCCCCATAGGATATCATTCATGACCCCGGTCGCGGTGCTCCCCTCGCCAAAGTGGTTTTTCGTGATCCCTACCGGTTTAAGAAGCGGACGGAGCTGTTCATCGCCGCAGAGGGAATCCACACTGGGCAGTTTGTGTACTGCGGCAAGAAGGGTGAGTTTTAAGGCGGGGAAGGACGGGCTGGCCCTCGGACTTAGATTGCTGTGCCTCAGTATGCGAGCCGTGTGGCTTCGCATTGCTTTTGGCTTTACCGGTCGCTTGGCCACTTCTCTCAACAGCCCAGCTGAATATCGGCAATGTTTTGCCCGTGGGCACCATGCCTGAAGGTACTATCGTATGTTGTCTGGAGGAGAAGCCTGGGGACAGGGGCAAGCTGGCACGAGCCTCCGGGAACTACGCCACAGTCATCTCCCACAATCCGGAGACCAAGAAAACGCGAGTGAAGCTGCCTTCAGGGTCCAAGAAGGTCATTTCCTCGGCCAACAGAGCTGTTGTTGGTGAGTGCCAGAGAGGAGTGGAACCTTCCTCACTGAGTGGTCAGCATATGAACAGCCAGCTGCTAGGCCTGGGACCTAGATCCAGGTTTCTCATTTCCTTGTTCTAGGGGGCACCAACTTAGAACACAGGATAGACGTGTGAGTTGAATTGTAGAATAGTACAGTATTTATTTTGTGGGTTTGTTCCAGCATGGACTGTAGAGATAGCTCAGTGGATAAAAGCAGTGGTTGTTCTTCAGAGAGCGGGTTCCTTTTCTAGCCCAGAGCAGTAACTCGAGTCCCAGGAAATACTGGTGTCTGCACGAATGTGTACAGGTCTGTTCATGCATCCATACACATACAATTTAGGTTTAAAGCCACTGGGAATTTTTGGCACTGTGACCTAACCTAGGACTTGAATCCTGTGCTTGTGTCTAGTTCTTTTCAAAGATGAGGCCAGTCAGTATTGGTGACTTCTAAAAGATGTCCATGTCAGTGAGATGGGACATGAGTCATATTTTCTTACTTGGTTACTTGGGAACATTTCACAGTCGGCCAAACTCTGGCTGCTCAGGGTAGGTTCTGAGGATATATGTTCACAGAGAACGTTTTTGTTTAGTGGAGTTTGTAGTTTGTATGGGAGGTGTCTTCAGAGGCTGAAGGACCTGTCCTGATCTCAGACACTTAATGTTGAGGTGCACCCCTGGGAACGTGGGCAGGGCCAAGGCATGGATCTCGGCTTGCCTGTCAATGGAAATGACAGATTTCTGAGTGTAAGGGGTTCCCTAGCTGAGGTTTGCTGAAATGCTCAAATGTACATGGATGGTACATTTCATTGAGACTGAAAATGGTCTTGGGGGTGTAGATTCCTGGCACAGCACTAATGGGGGTGGTATTTGTGACCCGAGGGCTTTGCTGCATGTCTCAGAGGTGTCCTATATTCCTGCAGGTGTTGTGGCTGGTGGGGGCAGAATTGACAAGCCTATCTTAAAGGCTGGCCGTGCCTACCACAAGTACAAGGCCAAGAGGAACTGCTGGCCACGTGTGCGTGGTGTGGCCATGAATGTAAGTAACCAAGAACTGGGAGTAGGATAGTATTCGTGTGCTGGGAGGTCCTAGGCCGTGGGCTCTGCCAGCCTTCCCCAGATAGGTGAGGTTACCCTTACTCTAACCTCACTCTCTCTCTACAGCCTGTAGAACATCCCTTCGGAGGTGGTAACCATCAGCACATTGGCAAACCGTCCACCATCCGAAGAGATGCCCCGGCTGGACGCAAAGTGGGTCTCATTGCTGCCCGCCGGACTGGGCGACTACGTGGAACCAAAACTGTACAGGAGAAAGAGAACTAGATCTCAGGAGCTAATAAAGTATGTCCTTTGGCTAATAGGCTGTGTGTGAGCCTCAGTTATTTTTTTTGGTGTGGGGGGGAAGTCCCTGCCATGGAGCCCCTTGGTACAGGGAAGTGACCTGAATGTGTGGGGGTCAGAAGATGGCATGCTACAGGGCATGTGAACATGACGTGCTGGGCCTGGAATTTTTGTGGGCCCTCATTTTATTGTGTATATTAGTGTGCAGGTACATGGCAGGGCATGACTGGATGTCAGAGGACTAGGTGTTCTCCCTGTCTACCATGTGGGCTCTGGAGATTGAACTCAGGTTGTCAAGCTTGGTGGCAAAGCACCTTTACCCACTGAGCCATCTTGCTAACTCGGTGAGTTGAATTTTCACTAGGGGCGTTAGGACATCCTATCTGATGCATAGATTTATGGCACTCTTTTTCTCAACACAAGCTAGAGCATTTGGGAAGAGGGACTCTGAATTGAAAGAACGCCTCTACGTGCTTGGCCTATAGGCAAGTCTACTAGGCATTTTATTGATTAATGATTGATGTGGGAGGGCCACGCCTGGACAGGTGGCTGTGGGTTATAAAAGAAAAAAATTGAGCAAGTCATGAAGCATCTCCCTTAGCATGTGCTTGAAACCATTTACATGATGGACTATGATATGGAATGTAAACCAATTAACCCTTCTCAAGTTGCTTCTGCTCACGGTATTATCAACAGCCATAACAACCCGAAGACAAATTTGTGCCGATATTGACCATTTTAGTGGGAGGATTGTGGACTAGAAGATGACTGAGTATTCAGTTCTTCATGAGTTAAGGGAACTCAGAAAATGATAGTAGTAGTAAAGATATTTTCAGAAGGAAGTTTTGAGAAACACAAAAGACTAGAGGCCGATATTTATTTTGGTTTTTCAAGACACGGGTTTATCTGGCCCTGGCTATGAATTCTAGAGATCTCAGCTGCCTCTTGAATGCTGGGACTAAAGACATGCATCACCATGCCTTTTGTTTTGAGACAGGATTCCACTATAGCTGTGGCTGCCTTTGCTATATAGCAGCATATACCACCGTGCTGGTGATAATTCAGTTAAGAATCTGTTCTGCTCAGCTGAGAGTAAGGAACTTAGACAAGATACTAAAACCATTAAAGTGAATCTTTGCTAGAATAATCTGTGACCAACAGAGGCAGGCCTGGTCAACAATGTGAGTTCCAGAACAGCCAGGAATACACAGAAACCCTGTGTGTATGAGGAGGGAGTAGTAATTAGCACCATTCAGGTGATATCTGGGAAGTGTTTGTCTACTCAGGGTTAGCATCCAGAAAGAAGCTGTGGTATAGAGGCAGGTAACTGAACTCGATGCATGGTACAGGCTTTGAAGGCATGTGTGGGTTCAAGCTGAGGCTTGGCACTGAGAGGCCAGTGAAGATGCTGCCTCAATTGTAGAAGCCCTCAGGCTAAAGGGATCCTGGAGAGAAACCGAGGCTTGGCACCATATGGCAGAGTTCTTGAATAGATGCTACTACCACAGGACCAACAGGTGTGTGTGAGTGGATCCTACCTGAACTTTATAAGAAAGCAGCCATGAGGAGCAAGCTAGTAAGCAGTGTTATTCCATGGCCTGTATAGGAGTTTCTGCTTTGACTTCACTGTGATGTGGAAGTGAAATAAACCCTTTGTTAAGTTGCTTTGGTTATGGTGTTTTTATCAGGACAATAGAAACCTCAAGACATCAGTTTTTTTCAGTTTACATAAATTCTCACTAATGTATCTTTTTCCTTTTCCAAACAAGAGCTGCCATTTCAGAATATTTCATAAGAATATTTTAAAATATTGGTTTTATTTATGCGTGTGCATATCACACACTCGTGCTTGGATCTCACATGGAAGCCAGATAACCCGTGGGAGTTGGTTCTCCCACCTTGTGGGTTCTAGAAAGCAAACTCAGGTTATCAGGTTTTATCCACTGAACCCATCATCTCTCTGGCTCAAGAATTTTTTTTTTTTTAAAACGGTGCTTTATACACATAGTACTTAAGTGTTTCATAAATACTAAAAATAAGCCGGGTGGTGCTGGCACACGGCTTTAACCCCAGCAGTAGGGAGGCAGAGGCATATGGATCTCTTGAGTTTGAGGTCAGTCTGGTCTACAGAGAGTTCCAGGGTTGCCATGGCTACACAAAGACCTTTCAAAGTACCCCCACCCCCATAGAAAAGATAACTGAAAATAGTCCAACATTCTAAATTTAAATACAACATTTGAATGACCAGATGCCTTTAGGAAAGGCATGAAGCTAGTAAGACAAGGAGCTCCATTTGAAATGTCAATATAATATAGTCTCTGTCTTTTCAGTTGCTTCAATAAACTGATTCTTGCCAAATAAGCAAAGGCAGAATTATGGCTAACTTTACCAATATCCACAATTATAGGATTCTCCAATATAACCTCAAGATGGTTAGGGGAAGAAAGGTAACACTAGTAGAATGTTTTTCTTTAGAAGGAAAAGGAATTGTGACATTGAGTCACCAAGGAAAGGTCCTGCAGATTTAACAGAACTGGAAGGAAAGCTGTTTACGTATTGTGCAGGTTCTAAGCTGGGCTTCCGACAGCCACGGGTCACAGCTTCTTGTGTACTTTCTGGTGCTGGATCAGGTGCCCGTGCTGGTTGAAGGCACGCCCACACTCCCCACACTCATAGGGTTTCTCTCCTGTGTGGATCCTCTGGTGTTGGATGAGCACCGAGTACTGGCTGAAGGCCTTGCCGCAGCGGTTGCACTCGTAGGGTTTCTCGCCTGTGTGGGTCCTCAGGTGCACGATGAGAGTTGCTTTCAGGCTGAACGCTTTGCCACACTCTGTGCACTGAAAGGGTTTCTCACCTGTGTGGATTCTCTCGTGCTGGATCAGAGACCTGCGTGCACTGAAAGCATGCCCGCATTCGCCGCACACATAGGGTTTCTCCCCAGTGTGGACCCGGAGGTGCTGGATGAGGTGCGAGTGCTGAACAAAGGCCTTCCCACACTCGTAGCACGCGTAGGGTTTCTCCTCCGTGTGAATCCTTTCGTGGTTCATCAGGGTGGAGCGGTGGCTAAAGGTCTTGCCACACTCACTGCACTCGTACGGCTTTTCCCCGGTGTGCACGTTGTGGTGCTGGATGAGCACCGAGCGGTCACTGAAGGCCTTCCCACACTCACTGCACGTGTATGGTTTCTCGCCGGTGTGGACCCGCTGGTGCTGCAGCAACGTTCTCTTCACACTGAATGTCTTCCCACACTCGCTGCAGCCATGAGGCTTCTCTCCAGTGTGCACTCTCTGGTGGCTCCGCAGGACAGTACTGTGGTTGAAGGCTTTCCCGCACAAGGGACACACATAGGGCCTCTCCCCTGTGTGGATCCGCTGGTGCTGGATGAGGTGGGAGAGCTGAGTGAACGCCTTCCCACACTCCAGGCATTCGTGAGGCTTCTCTCCCGTGTGGATCTTGTGGTGCTGGGCAAGGTCCGAGCTCACTCTAAAGGCTTTCCCACATTCGTTGCACTCGTAGGGCTTTTCGCCGGTGTGGATCCGCCTGTGCTTACTGAGGACAGAACTCTGGCTGAAGGCCTTCCCACACACGTGGCAGACATAGGGCTTCTCCCCAGTGTGTATTCGCTGGTGCTGGAGGAGGTGAGAGCTCCGACCAAAGCATTTCCCACACTCGATGCACATATAGGGTCTCTCTCCACTAGGAGCCACCTGGTGTCGAGTAAGTGGTACACTAGGATTTGATTCCTGGACGGCATGGGGGCCAATGGGGGCTGGATTTGGGCAGATGTTCTGCTCTGTTTGGCAGTGTTCTTCATTAGCCTTCTTCAGTGATGTTTCCCCCAGAATCACTGCTTTTTCATCTGAGGTCAATGGCTGTAAGTTCAAGTTTGTGTTTTGGTTTTCTTCCTTGGTTTTCCATTCTGAAACAAATACAAAATGAAAAAGGTTAACACTCGCTGGGGTAGTGGATGGGTGGGACATGCCTGTAATCCCAGTAGTTGAGAGGCTGAGGCAGGAGGACTGAATTCAGTACTTAAATGAGAGCACTTGCCTCTAGCAAGCAGAGCCCACCACAGCCCAAGAAAGTGCTGCTATCAATAAACCATGCTTAACTCTATTATTTTATGTCTAGAATTACTCCCCAAGCTCTCTCAGGCGTTATGTGGATGCAGTTGTTCCCATGTTGGGCACCATTCTATTGACTGAGTTTTCTGTCCTGCCCAGTTCCTGCAGTATTAAGGCCCAAAGAAATCACACAGAGGTCTATATTAACTATAAACTAATTGGCCCATTAGGTCAGGCTTCTTACTAACTCTTACAATTCATATTAGCCTATTATTCTAGTATATGTTAGTATGTGGCTGGGTACCTTATTCAGCGAGGCAGTCACATCTTGCTTCTATGGCTGGGTCAGAACTGCCAACCAAGCTTTCCTCTTCCCAGAATTCTTCTGTTCTTGTCGCCCCACCTCTAATTCCTGCCTGGTTGTCCCACCTCTACTTCCTGCCTGGCTACTGGCCAATCAGTGTTTATTTAACATATAATTGACAGAATACAGACCATTGTCTCACACCACTTAACCACTTCTCCAAGGTCTCATCTGTAGAATTCCCTGAGTGGGTTGTCATACTTGATGGACAGCCTAGGATAGGAAGCCCCACAGAAAGACGTAAATTTAAAATGTGTGCATGTACAGTGTGGGGCTGGGGGCAGTACACGGACTGTGTGCACAGGGAGGTCAGAGGACAACCTTTTGGACTTAGTTCTCTCCCTCTAACCCTTATGTGTGTTCTGGGGATTGAACTGAGGCTTCCAGGCTTGCATTGCCAAGTACCTTTATCTGCTGAGCTACCTCACAACTCCAAAAGTCTCATACTTGTGAAGGACATACAAGGGTCTCTGGCAAGGACCAGTGGGATCAACAACTTTGGGGCGAAGTACAGGTTTAGAAAGCTTTGCTGCAGAGGCCAGAACCACAGGCAAGTACAGCATCAGCCCTTCCTCTTCCATTCCTTTCTATGTCAGGATAGCAAAGAACTAGGTGTTCTCACTCCTTGGGAGTGAACTGGTGGGCCATGCATGTATTGGCCCCCGACATAAGGAAGGCTATGGCAGTCCTTTTTGGTTTACTTTATCTTACATGCACTGATGTTTTGCTTGCATGTATGTCTGCATAAAGGTGTCCATTCCCCAGAGCTGGAGTTAGACAATTATAAGCTGGCATGTGGGTTCTGGGAATAGAACCTAGGTCCTCTGCAAGAGCAGCAAGGGCTCTTTTTTATTTGTTTTGTTTTTCCGAGACAAAGTTTCTCTGTGTAGCCCTTGCTGTCCTAGAACTCACTCTGTAGACCAGATTGGGCTGGAACTCAGAGCTCTGCCTGCCTCTGCCTCCCAAGTTAACAACATGTGTCACCCCTGCCTTACAGCAGCCAGTGCTCTTCACTGCTCAGCCATCTCTCCAGCCCAGCACATGCATGCACTCAGAGTCAACCCCTGTTGTGGCCTGAGCGATGGAGCAACTAGAAGCTTCTGTTCTCCTAGAGAATCTGTTTTGTTTTTGTTTTGTTTCCCCCCTCCCCAGGAAACTCGAAGGCTCGTCAAGAGGATCTATCAATCCCCTATGGCCGGCCTCCATAGACAGCTTCGGCAGTATCTGAAAATGCTCCTCCCACCCCCAGTTTGCTATGGTCACAGTCAGTAGGTTGCTGTGCAAAGCCAGTCACACTTGTCCTGGTTACTCAGAAAGGTTAGGCAGGAGGATCACTTCAGCTTGGGGAGGGAAAGAAAAAGGAAAAAAAGTTCTTTGCAAGATTTCTGTGACGTGGGGCTGGAGAGATGGCTCAGAGGTTAAGAGCATTGCCTGCTCTTCCAAGGGTCCTGAGTTCAATTCCCGGCAACCACATGGTGGCTCACAACCATCTGTAATGAGGTCTGGTGCCCTCTTCTGGCCTTCAGGCATACACAGAATATTGTATACATAATAAATAAATATTAAAAAAAAAACAAAAACAAAAAAAAAAGATTTCTGTGATGTAATGCTGTGTCCTTCTTGTTTGAGGTCCTGGAAAGTCAGGACCTTTGAGGCTGTCACGTGACTATTTCTCAGAGGAGATCGGATTGCAGGCCAATGAGATTGTTAAGTCTTTGTCCATACCACTGTAGAAAGGAAGGATAATTCTTTTCTTGTTTGTTTGTTTTTGTTTTGTTTGTTTGTTTTGATTTTCAAGACAGGGTTTTTCTGTAGCTTTGTAGCCTTTCCTGGAACTAGCTCTAACAATATTTCTAAATTCTCTTATGAATATCTATCTCTTTTTCCAAGTTAAAAATCATATAAACTTCAAATAATACTTTACTTTTTCAATCCTTATAGTTTTGTTGTTTTTTTTTAACTTTGCTTTATATAATACAAGGGACTGCAGTACAATATTTCACGGTCAGGGTATAGTAGATTCTTTTATAACCAAGATCAAACTTCCAGCTCTTCACCATGAATATCAGGTTGAAAAATTTCCCTTCTATACTGAGAGCCTTGTTTTAAATCAAGAAACCCAGGCCGGGCGGTGGTGGCGCATGCCTTTAATCCCAGCACTTGGGAGGCAGAGACAGGCGGGTCTCTGTGAGTTTGAGGCCAGCCTGATCTACAGAGTGAGTTCCAGGACAGGCTCCAAAGCTATCCCTCGCCTCTACAGGGCTCAGAGATCCTGTCCTCCCTCCTCTGCACCTAGGTTCACCTCCTCATGTAGTTTCCCTACCCCATCTACGCTTCCTTCATGGACTATTGCTTGGCCCAGGCCTTCCCGGTCTGTGGACATTCTACAGAGGAAGAATGACAGAGCCCTCCCCTGACTAATGGAAGCTTCTTCCATCCGCGACTCTGTCTGAACTAGATTATACCTGCAGTGGAAGCAGGATCAGTTCTCCTCACTCACCGGAGGGACCACTTCCCAGGCTCTGGCTCGGCTCAGTGTCCTGCCCATCCAGGACCCATGGATCTTCTCCTCGCTCCAACTGGGAGATCACAACAGGCTTGGATCCTGGGAGTCCTGCTCATGAGGAGGGAAGCCCCTGGATTATACAATATTTGCTAAAATACTCCCTTAATCCATGCTCCATGCGGGCACAGGAAAAAGGACAAAGCTTCCATTCTGTTGGAGCTGAATCCTTGAGGTGAGCAAGCCTCAGGACCAGTCTGCCCCGACTCCCCCTCTTCCCAGCAGCTGCCCCCTCTCTGGGAAACCTTGCCATGAGTCCAGCACACAAAGACACAATGGAGCCCATGGAGGAGCCTTACCTAGTGAGACCACATTGCCGTAAGTTTCCATCATCACATTCCGATAGAGGCCCCGCTGAGCAGGGCCCAAGCGGGCCCATTCCTCCTGGGACAGCAGAACAGCCACATCCTCAAAGGTCACCTTGACCTGGAATGATCAGTTTTTGAGTAACTTCGCACCTGACAGGTAGTACGTGTGACATGGGGGGCTGGTGGCGGCCCCTAAAGAGTCATGTGAGTTCAGTAGGAAGAAGTGATTGAGCTCAGGATGGGCAGTGATATGTGGGACTTCTTGGACACAGAGGAGCTTTGGTCAAGCCACTGAATAAGCTTTTGGGACCACTCACCTGAGGTCCTGCTGGCAGTGGCAGAAGTCCAGCTGCTGCCATCTTGGCGTCTTGGGTGTGTTAGGACAAGAGGAATCAGGATCCTGCGGGCTGAGAAAGCGAGAACTCATGACTCATGAAAGTTCAGTTCCACAGATCCTGACATCCGCGGGGGGTGGTGGGGGTGGGGGTGGGGGTGTCCCCTTGTCGGGTAAAGTCAGTGAAAGGCAGGCTGAGCGCTGGGCAGCCTTTAATCACAGCACTTTGGGAGGCAGAGACAGGTGGATCTCTTTGAGTTAGAGGCCAGCCTGGTCTACAGAGCAAGTTTCAGGACAGGCTCCAAACCTACAGGGAAACCCTTTCTTGAAAAACAAAACAAAACAAAGCAAAGAAAGGCAGGCTGAAGTGAGACTCAAGGAGCCGAAGCCCCTGGAGTTCTGCTTTGCCCTGTCTCCCCGGGCCCACGCTCACATTGGTATTCTCTAGTGCAGAGTCCTGAGCAAAAGTGTGGTTTCTGGGCTGGTCCCATCTAGTAGGCTTAGTCAGGGAAAGTCCCACTTGAAAAATGACAGGGGAGCTAGAGGTTGGGTTATCTTTGTGGGTCCAAGGCCAGACTGGCCTACACGGTAAGTTCTAGGCCAGGCAGAGCTTCACATCCTGCTCCCCCTTTTCTTTCCAAGATAAGTAGAGATAGCTTAGTGTTAAGAGTAGTTGCTGGGAGCTGGAGAGATGGCTCAGAGGTTAAGAGCACTGCCTGCTCTTCCAAGGGTCCTGAGTTCAATTCCCAGCAACCATATGGTGGCTCACAGCCATCTGTAATGGGGTCTGGTGCCCTCTTCTGGCCTGCAGGCGCGCACGCAGACAGAATATTGGATACATAATAAATAAATAAATAAATAAATAAATATTTTTTTAAAAAAAAAAAGAGTAGTTGCTATGGGGCTGGAGATATGGCTCAGGGGTTAAGAATACTGACTGCTTTTCCAGAGGTCCTGAGTTCAATTCCCAGCACCTATGTGGTGGCTCATAACCATCTATAACAAGATTTAGTGCCCTCTTCTGATGTGTGGGCATACATGCCAGAACATTGTCTACATAATAAATAAAAAAAGAGTAGTTGCTACTATTTGGGGGCTAGAGAGATGACTCAGAGGTGAAGAATACAGCCTGCTTTCCCAGAGGTCCTGAGTTCAATTCCCAGCAACCACATGATGGCTCACAACCATCTGTTATTAGATCTGGCGCCCGCTTCTGGCATGCAGACAGAACACAGTATATATAATAACAAACAAACACACAAACATAAATAAATCTAGAAAATAAAAAAGTACTTGTTACTTTTGTAGAGGACCCAGGTTTGTGTCCAACTCCAGTTCTAGGAGATCTAATGCTTATTTCTGGCCTCTATGGTCTGTTACATGTGGTACACATGAGCTCACATAAGAACATACACATACATATGAAAATAAAATAATTTTTAGAAAATGATAAGGATTTCTAAGCATCTACCTATTGTTTTCTAAGGACTTAAAAGTTCCAATCTTTCACTGCCTAGACCACTGGGGTCTCCATGATTGACAGATCATATCTATGTGGGGAGCCAGTGAAGACTGGTTGCTGGCTGGCTCACCTTCGCCTGGCCTATGGTCCTGCCTGCTCACAAGGACAGTAGCTCTGCAGGGCCCTACGTGCTCTATACTCAAGGCATTCATATGGCTCATATGGCTCATAAGCCACATGATCTCCCAAGAAGTCCTCCCTCCAAAGTGGGAAGTGGGTCATCTACTTATGTGGAAAATCGCAGGTTCGGACCCTTGCTTAGTCTTAGATAGCCTCTGTGCTCTGATGAGGGAAGGGCTCAGCCTATGGACAGGCAACACAGGTCTGAGCATGGTTATGCATGAGCTGAGTCTGGAGTACCAGAGGGTCTGAGACCTGAAGGATGTCTTGTCTCACCACTTGGGGGTGGGGGGGTCCTGGAGACACACCTTGATAGACAGATGTTTAACACAGCTAAGAGGCTGGGGACAGAGATGTCTGAGAGCGAGCGTAGAGATGGGTTCAGTCTTCTCAAGTGTTGGTGGGAGGCCGTCCACAATAGCGAGACAGAGCCAAGCCTGCATGGCAGATGGTACTCGAAAAAATGGGGAGCAAGATTATAATCTATCCTTTCAGGCCTCTGGTTCTCTGATAGTGAAATGGAAGCTGATCATGGCTCTTTCCCCTATAGGTCCAGCTGTTCAGAAAGGTGGAGGCAGAGGATCCTCAGCAAAAGACCAGGTTGAGTTATACAGTGAGATCTTGCCCCCCCCCAAAAAAAGGTGAGCATCATGACCTGCATGGTGGGCTTTCCACAAAGCCCGACGACCTGAGTTCAATCCTACTACCACCTTGTGGAAGGGGAGACCCAGTTCTCACAAGCTGTTGTCAACATGCACATGTGCCCCCACCCTGCAATAAATAGATAATAAAAGATGATAGGATTTAGGATTCAGTTCAGTGGGAAGACACATTATTCACTAATATTTGGATCCAGATGAAACATGTAACACACAATCCTAGATTAAATATTCAGCTCAGTGGAAGCCACCCTTATTTAGTAACATTGGTATCCAGATGGAATAAGATTAAATATACAGTGCCCAGCCTCCTGCTTTCCTGGCCCCTGTATCTAATTCCTCCTGATGCACACGATCCCTTCTCCCCCTTTCCCAGTCCTCTGGCAGCAGCTGCCTCCTGCAGGAGCAGATTCACCCCATGTGGTCTTTACCCCTTCTTCTTTTCAGGAGAGCACTGTGTTTACACGATGTCGTGATGTCTGATGTCACAGAGTCGGGGACTCTGCGGGTCCCCGAAGCAGCACGGTAAACTCCCATGTCAGGGCTGGGTCACTGTCTCCTGCAGGCAGCAGGCCTACTGCCGGTCTATTAGCACTGCTCTCCCTCAGTGAGACCTTCTCAGGGTGCCTCCCTCCAGCACCAACCTCTTCATTCGCTTGGGTGGCATCTCTATCCTCTCCTACACGAGAAGCTGACCTTCACCGCATGAGCAGTTCTGGCACCCTGGAACCCTGACAGAGTGATGGTTATTTGGCCTCTCGTCCTGACTACACCTGGGCAGGGATCAAATGATGAAAACAGAAACCGCATTCAAACCTTCTGGCCGATCTCCAGGCTCGTAGGGCCGATCTATCGGCCCTAGAAACTGTTGGCTCTTGGCTGTTGCAGCTTCTGTGACCTCCAGGGACTAACAGACCCTAACTCATTAGCTCATACTTCCTTCACTCCAATGGGAGGGCCTCTGCTCTCTCCATCTCCCAGAACTACCCTGCTGCTGCACTGTAGAATCAATGGGTAAAATTAAAACAACAATGATATCACACTTCAGACTCTTTGGGAAAATAAACCCAGAGCAAACACCCTCTGCTTGTGGTGAGGGGGACATGGAGCATTTCGCTTGTTTCCTGAAGAAGGCCATCCAGCAACATGAAGGCAAATCAGGCAGGCCTTCAGACAGCGAGTGACCTGCAGAGATCGAATCAGTTGTGGACACAGATTCAATGACGGTGCCACAGTATGTCAGCATGGCTCTTCCACATGCTAGTCACACATCCACCAGAGAAAGATTTAATTGGTGCTAGCCACCAGACAGTGCACATGCAGAATGGAGACAACAGGCATAAGATGTTCCTGTATTATTATTATTATTGTTGTTGTTGTTGTTTTTTTTGAGACAGGATTTCTCTGTGTAACAGCCCTAGCTCTCCTGGAACTAGTTCTTGTAGACCAGACTAACCTCGAACGCAGAGAGATCTGTGGTGGCATTTCAAATGTATTTTAATAAATAAAGACTGCCTGAAGATCTGAGAGTAAAACAGTCCACTGGCCAGCCTTACAGACCGGGTTATGGTAACACACACCTTTAATCCCAGCAGCCACACTAGTCACAGAAACTGAGCGGTGCAAGCCTTTAATGATGGTGATGCACACCTTTAATCCCAGACCTAGAGAGGAATATAAAATGGGGTGGGGGTGGGGAGACAGCTCTCAGACACAGTCTGCTTCTGAGATTCCAGGAGGCAGGATTGCCATTTCAGACTAACTTCAGACTAAGGTCGAGGCAAAAGCCAGTGGCTGGCTGTTTTGCTTTTTGGATCTTCAGGTTGAACCCCAATTTCTGACCCTAAGTTTTTAATAATCATGCTTCAGAGATCCGCCTGCTTTTGCCTCCCGAGTGCTGGGATTAAAGGCATGTGCCACCACTGCCCTGGTATGGGAGATCCTTCTGTATATGTGTTGCTTTTACTGGTTAATGAATAAAGAAACTGCTTTGAGCCTATAGCAGGGCACAATAGAGATAGGCAGGTAAAACTAAACTGAATGCTGGGAGAAAGAAGGCGGAATCAGTGAGATGCCATGTAGCCCCCAGAGGGGAAAGACATGAGTTGTCAGTTGGAACCTTGGGGGTAGGCCAGGAGCCTCATGGTAAAATATAAAATAATGGAAATGGGTTAAATTAAGATGTAAAAGCTAGCCAATAATAAATTAGAGTAATAGGCCAAGCAGTGATTTAATTAATAGTTTGAGTAGTTATTTTGGGATTCTGGAAAGCAGGAAATGAACAAGCAGCTTCTCATAACACCGCCTGGCTAAGATGTTCCTATATTCTAAACCATGACTAAGTCCAAGAGATGTGCACATTATAGGGACCGTGCGTGGTCAGCTTGTTTGCCTTTCCTGGGTTGATGGCACCATGGCTGTAAGTCTGGGAGGCGATACACTCCACTGATGGCTTCATAGAGTTCACAGAAGAAGAGAGCACTCAGCACAGGCCTGCTGCAAGGTTTGCTACTGATGGACAAGGTGTTATTATCCAATCTGATTAGATTTACTTACGGGGAAAACTGCAGGACACTAGGCTCTCAGCGTGTATGTAACAAGAAGGGGAAAAGATGACATTAACTCTCTAGCTTGGGACAATCTCTGCATACTGTCTAGTAAAAAGAACACCACAAAATATGGTGATAGTCTGCTAAAATTTCAAAATAATGAACTTCAAAAGTACTACTATCTACTTTTAAATTTTCCCTTACTTCTACTTCAGAAGATAGAAACCTGGTTTCTTTTGCAAAAAACAGGCAAATACTGAGGCCTCAACCTAGAGCTTGCATACTCAATAAAACAAAGTTATCTGGGATATCGAAAACTAGTTCTTAATCAGCTTCCCATTCACTCCAAGATCCTAAGATCTACGAAACTCCCTGCTTTGTTCTATTAAGAACATAGGCATTTAGGGGGTTAGAGAGGTGGCCCAGTGGTTAAGAGCACTGACCCAGGTTCAATTCCCAGCACCCATATGGCAGCTCACAACTGTCTGTAATTCCAAGATCTGACACTCACACACATACACACATGCAGGGAAACCACCAATGCACAATAATATAAAAAGAAATCATTAAAAAAAACAACACAGGAATTCAGACATAAAGAAAATGACGTGGCTATTTTTATAAAATTCAAAGAATAGCTCAAAACAAATCCTGTAAAGATGCTGGGACTAGGGCAGGGACGGAATTAGTGCCC